ACTCCTCCGTTTCCAAAAATTCTTCTCACTTTCCATTTTGGGATGTTCCCAAAAATACTTCCCACTTACTAAATAAGGAAAGTTCATACTACTAAAAACCCTATCTTACCCCTTCAGATATTTACCCTCCCCACTTACTCTCTTTCCCACTTACACTCTGCCCCACCTTTTCGTTCCATTCTCTCTCTCGCATTATCTCACCCCCTCTCTCCTTGTCTCTCACAGTCTTGATGCAACACCTCCCCTCATCCTCTCATCCCTATGTTTTCGATGCATCGCCTCCCCTCCTTCTCTGAACCAAAATCCACAACAACCCTAGCTTATCTGTTGATCTAATCGTCTGTCCTTGATTGAAATCCGTAAACCTAAGATTCGACTTCCATGGATCTAGAATCAACCTCTAAAACCCTATGTGAAGATCTAGGTCCATACTATGCTTGCATGGGCATCCTGATGGTGCCGGACAGTGAAGTCGAGCCAGATGATGACCTCGATGTGGATGACGGTAAAACTTCGGTGGACCTTGTGGTTACGGACACCGAAGAGGCATCGGATGGGGACGATGATGAAGGTCCGATGGAGCTAGTGGTTCCAGACAGTGAAGAGGCATCAGATGGGGACGATGATGAAGGTTTGATGGAGCTAGTGGTTCCGGACAATGAAGAGGCATCAGATGAGGACGATGATGAAGCTTCGATGGAGGTAGTGGTTCCCGACAGTGAAGAGGAGAATGTTCAACGGGCCAAGCAGGTTGTGGTTCCGAATAGTGAAGAGGCTAAGGAGAAAAGACGGAAATAGGTGGAAATGCACCCACTACGTACAAATCCTCGTATAGAAGCCATCCTAAAAATCATCCTACCCGGCTGGGAATCTAGGATGTGGGACGTGGATGTATGACTTCTTTCCCAATCAGGGAATTTAAGTCACTCACTTAATCTCTTTTCCTATGTTGGACTCCTCTATGTTGTTTGTCTGTGTGTGACATCGTGTATGGCTATTGTTGTGGACTTGCTTGTCTACCTTGGCTTACATATATGTTGTGTGTAGTGCAGTGTTTGTTTTGGGGGAGCAATGATGAAAATACGGTGTTTTTTTTTTTTTTCTGAAATTGTTCGTAATGAACAAAATGTTGGCTTCTTAAGGAATGTGTGATGTTTGATTGGAATGATGAATGTGTGGGCTGGTTATGGAATGCTTGATGTGCACTATGTAGGGCATATATGTGTGGACTGACTACGGTTGGTGTTTGTGTGATGTGATGACCAAATAGGTCTGAGCTTTGCTTGTTTGAGTGTTGTGATGTCCATATAGGTCTGATCAATGCTTGTATGGGTGCTGTGTTGACCATATAGGTCTGATTAATGCTTGTATGAGGGTTGTGATGACCAAATAGGTATGAGCTTTGCTTGTATGGGTGATGTGATGACCATATAGGTCTGACCAATGCTTGTATGGGTGCTGTGTTGACCATATAGGTCTGATCAATGCTTGTATGAGGGTTGTGATGACCAAATAGGTCTAAGCTTTGCTTGTATGGGTGCTGTTATGATCATATAGGTCTGATCAATGCTTGTATGAGGGCTGTGATGACCAAATAGGTCTGAGCTTTGCTTGTATGGGTGCTGTGATGACCATATAGGTCTGACCAATGCTTGTATGGGTGCTGTGTTGACCATATAGGTCTGATCAATGCTTGTATGAGGGATGTGATGACTAAATAGGTCTGAGCTTTGCTATGAGGCTGCTATGAAGTCAATTTCATTCCGAGCAAATTATTTTTGTCTGTTGGGATGACCATATTGGTCTGAACCATGTTTGTAAGAGGTTGCTATGATGAATACTTAAATCTGACCGTTGTGACCAATGTTAGGGCTACAAAATGACAAAAATCTAGGCCTCTCCTACATATAGGGCTAGCTACTCCTATGAGTCTATTGGTTTTACCTGTACACACTTCATCTTACAGACTCTAAAGGCCTGTACGAAAATGACAAAAAAGGCTTATACAAAATAACCCAAAATATTTTTGCAACCTACTGCACATCTTCATCCTCTTCAATTATCAAATGCCCCTCAATTTCCTCTTGTATGCCTGAAGAAGAGGTTGGATGTTGGGACAAGAAGCCTCCCATGGCTTCTAGCAGTCCAATATCTACCTCAATAGCAATGGGCAACCTCCCTTCTCTGATCATTGCATCCTTTCCATGGTGTGGCAGCTTGTAATTGTTTCCCCCTTCCACCTTCATAACTTCTAGCATGACATATTGTAGCTTAAACAATCCTTGTTCAAAGTGATGGGTGAAAGCTGACATAAAGCTTCATTAACTGCATGTAATAGTTCATCAACATTTCTGTGCGCTTTTTTATCTTTCAATGACTGTATTGCCCTGAAGAATCCTAGGTCTAGTATGTTAAGATCTGGGGAATTGGGGGGTTGGTTAGTCAACCTTATATTGAAATCATCTCCTTGGGATGCTGCCATGTAATTTGCATCTGACCCTAAAATGTGTGGCCTTGCATTATCCTGTTGGATAACAATATCCTTGCTTAAGCAGTCTGGCCACTTTGCCTCAATTGCTGGTAACACATTGTTGATTAACATGTCTTTGAACACTTCCTTTGTGATGCTAACTATAGGTTTTGTTTCCATCACCCCTGCATCTCTATTTTTGCTTTTCCTTTTGACTGCTACCTTTTGAATGAATGGAAAGATGCCCACTTTACCATCCCAAAGTACTTCACCAGTGTCTGAAAATAGAGGTCTGCCTACTACTCCTAGGGACATAACCTCTTTGACTTGCACACCCTATGAGGATCCTGCTCTTCCAAAGCCATGTAGAACCTCTGTGAAGTTTTTGACATGAAAATCCATTTTTCATCAATGTGTATCACATTTTGAAAATTCTGGAATGTTGGCTTACCTAGATTTGAATTGTCAACTTGGTTGTAACAGAACTGTAGTCTGGATAGTTTGTTTGCATATGTTAAGAAAGGCTTAATGGCATTTGTGTGACTTCTAAGCATACATTTTTTCAAACATTTGTGCAAAGTTGTCTTTGAAATGCCTGTGGCAGCAACTAGTTCCCTCATATTGGTCCTTTTATACAGTGGAATTTCAGAGATGAAGCTTATATCCACTTCAGTTCTTTCCTGTCTGAATTACCAGCCCACCTACTTCTTACATCCACCGGGTCCCCTTTCTTAAGTTGTTTTTTGGCAGTCGCCCATATGCTTGAAATGGATCTTCTAGAAACTTGAAATACAGTTCCCAGTTTACTAAACACACCTTTCTGAGCTACCAACACCCCAAAACAGTCTGTTTTGCGCTGAGTAGGATTTGATTAATGATATTGTCCCTTTCCATATTAGACAGTTTCCTACTTTTGTTGTTGCTGATTGCTTCTTGTGATTCACCCTCATTTGTTATTGTGTGGAGGTTGGTTGGTGAAGAAGATGAAAGAGGAGCATTAATGGAAGGTGAAGGGGAATCCACATTTATGGCAACTGCCATTTATGGAAGAAGAAATGCTGTCATTTATTGTGTGCGTGTGTGTGAAGTGTCAAGTGTTGTAATGGGAGGTTGGGAGAAACAATGGGGAAATGGAAGTATCTGTAGAAGGAAAAAATTTGAAAGTCCCTCCAAAAATAGGAGGGAAGTTGTATCCGAAAATATTTGGGGGTGTACTATTCACTTTTTTGATCACTTCAAATCCCACTTTATTTAATCATTCTACATTGGAATAACTTTATTTTTACCCCTCCCCTTTTCAGCCAACCTCCAAGGGTTTAATTGGAAAGTCAAAGACTTTTTAGCCTTGCATTAAAAAGCGGTCCGGATCAAAATGGGAATGATTTTTGGGAACGGAGAGAGTAGGAGCTGAGGGATGGGATGGCCTTGTACTTAGGGGTGGTTCGGTACGGTATACTGAAGATTTTATCTCATACCTTTACCATACCGTAAACTTTCGGTATGAAAAAATACATACCGTTACCATACCTAAATTTCGGTATACCTTGTTTCGGTATACCAAAATTTCGGTACGGTAAGCTACGGTATCGATAAATTATCATGATTTAATATCAAATTATTAAATATCAAATGAAATATAGAAAATCAGTGTTAATAGTGATATAATAAATTATTAATGAAATTAATTATAAAATGCCAATGATAACCTATTTGTGTTCTATTCATCTTTGAACAAAAAAATATTATAAATATGTACGGATACTTCAACACATGATATATGAAGATAACAACATATTCTGCTAAAATAATAATTTAAACAACATAAATATATTTGAAATAGCATCGATCTCCAACAAAAAGTATAAATAATTCAAGAAACATGGATATAAAGTCATTATCCTTGAATTAATGTTGTGTTTCTAGTTATTTTTATAATTTTAAAGAAATTATTGGCTTGGAATTACGATGTGACGGTATAACGGTATACCGTTTATTTCCAAAATATATACCGATACCATACCGAAGTAATTCGGTACGGTATCATACCGTACCAAAAGTGTCGGTATACCAAGCACTTCGATAAATTCAGTATTCTTCGATATGGTAAGTCCGATATACCGAAATTTCGGTATTTTTCCCCACACCTACTTGTACTCCTATACTAAGAGCATCTCCAATGCAAGGGTGTGATCTCTTACACACCCTTACACATGGGTCCCTTTTTTATCTCACAAATTTTATGTGTAGGACCCACATATTTTCCAATTTATTTTCATTTTCATTTTTTTATATCACTTTTAACCCACTTTTCATCAACTTTTCCTCCTCGAATTCCGTGTAAGGTTCATATATGGACCTTGTCATAGACCTTGATCCATTTTTACCTCTATCTCTCTCCTCTTTTTCATTTTTCCCTATACACCACTTCATCCCAATATTTATTCTATCTCTATCTCTCTTATGCCACATCAGATGCAATATCTCTTATGCCACATCAGATGCAATGCACCTTCCCATTTCCAATGGAGATCTCTAATAGGCTCTATTTACGCTCCAATTACAAAAATTGCTACCCCTCGTGTAGTGTGGTATACGACAGTATATACCCCGTCCCTCGTTCTATCGCCGTATCAGCCATCGCGTATGGAGTATTGGAGTCTATGGAGTACTATCGAGGATGGCAGGTAGCCAGCTAGCGCCAATTCGTCGAGCCAGTCTCTGCTTCAGCACGTCGAACAATACCTGGAAATCGTCGACCCGCGGGAAATCAGCGAACGAGAAAAGCTTGCCGGGCACCGCCCACTGTCCACCTATTGACGTGAAATCGCCAAACTACTGCTGACTTCTGTAAGTTGCTTGGGATAGGCCGTGGCTTGTTTTTGTGTTTGGGTTAAAAAAAAACAGATATCACTCCGCCTCTGTTACATTACCTAGAATAGAAGACAATACCCAAATGCACAAATGAGAACTAATACAATCACATCCAAAGATTATGCCTATTTTGATTGTATTTGTAATTTGTATCCCCTTCCAAGTAATTAAAGTACTCCGTATGATGGAGGTCCTGATGTCGTCATTGGTAAATAGCATCTTTTGTTCAAATTTTTGGGTTCTATATTTCTATTGTGTGTACTATCCATATAGAAAGTAGAAACATTAGGGGATCATTTTTTTTAGCTACCCGTCTTTACTTTAGATGATGCCTTTATATTAGTGATTTTCCTTGGTGATTGATAGACACGTGATACAATGTCGAGTACTAGGTAAGACCGTAAGACATTAAAGTGAACTCAAACTTCTGTCTTACATTGAAGTATTCAACATTTCAGTTATTAGAGCCTCTTTCACCAGAGATAGTAAAGTATTTGCACTGAGCTGTTATGTAAACTTTGTATTTTTAACAATTAACATGACTCTGTCTGTTAAAATTAGTTATTTTTATTTTTATTGAGTTTTCCTTAACTCCTTGTATTTTTGGAATTTTCTTTAATTGTTTGCAACTTTGATATATGGAGTTATTGTCTATTGGACGTATTTTTATTGAGTTGTATTGAGTGTATTGTTATTTTGAAACTTGCCAGTTCACTATGTTATCAATTTTTGGAACTTGATAAGATACTACTTTTTTTACACGGAAACAGGAACCGAAGAACCCGGACCGGACTGACCTGTTTCCAACGGTCCAGGTAAGGTCTGGTTCCTATTTTGAAAATTGCAATACCCGGACCGGATCAATCCGTATAATGGACCTGGCAGTTCCATTTTATTTTGCATCACCCGCCCCTACCGGCTACCGGACCGTGCCCTTCCCTAGTAGATTGTAGTCCTAGACTCCTAGTAAATAGTACTCCGTAATAACTAGATTATTGTAGGTTGCATTTTTGTAGTATTAAATTTGCATATTTTCTACAAGTTATGATTTGACATGAGTTTAGTGATTTTTGCTTATGTTTATCTAGCATAGGAATATTCTTATTTTATTTTTTTGTGCCTATAGGCTCTACTTCACACTTCTTCTAGCAATGGAGTGTAATGGAGTTGAAGCATCACAAATTTGCAGAGAACTTGAGTCACTAAAGGCGGACAAGCTACGAATTGAACAGCGGATCTCAGCTCTTGAATCTCAACTCAGTCAATTCCGCTCAAACGATGAAACCACCTGGAATGGTGTCGGTTGTGATGCACACGTTTGTTTTCCGCCAATATTAAATGCAAGGTTAAGCTCTAGTCATGGTTTGTCTCCTGATAATATCTACAGATATAGTCGTCACTTGTTGCTTCCTTCATTTGGCGTCCAAGGTTTGCTCTCAATTACATTATGTCATTATATACAACTGTCATTAAATGAATAGTTTTTGTTATTGATATATATTTCTTTTCATTTCTTAGGTCAGGCAAATCTTTTGAAGTCTTCAATTTTGGTTATCGGGGCTGGAGGCCTAGGATCTCCTGCTTTGCTATATCTTGCAGCTTGTGGTGTTGGTAATATTTTCTTTATATACATTTCACCGTGTGCAGGTACATGTATTCACCGTGAAGATTTAACATTTCATTTCTAAACATTATAGGCCGAATAGGCATAGTCGATCATGATGTTGTTGAGCTTAATAATCTACAGAGACAGGTATTTGATCCGGTTTTCTTTCTTAAGAAGAAAACAGTACTTTTTGTTATTCTAAGATATTGTATTGGTAACTGGTAGATTTCAAGTAATACTAATGGACCCGTATTGTTGTTTGGGGTGCGAGCTGCTATGAATTCGATTTGTAATTTGTATCATCACAATTGTTAGATTTATTCTTTATTGAAGTTCAAAGTGCAAACAGATTTGATTCATTTTGTGCATGTTGTGCCACAGATAATACACACTGAAGCAAATGTTGGGTGCTCAAAGGTAGAGTCTGCTGCTGCTGCTTGCCGCGCGTAAATTCATTGCTCTTTGGTCTTTGGCAGTGTATTTCTTTTAAGTTTTTAAAGGCTACCACTAACCATCTTAAAATTATGGTTGATTTTGCAGGATTAACTCGTCCATTCAAATCATTGAGCACAAAGAAGCATTCCGCACATCCAATGCTTTGAGGATTGCAAGCCAGTATCCTTTTCTAAATACACCATGGTGACCCATGTGCTCAAACATTCTACTTTTCACATTCGTGTCTGTTCACTATTGGACAGAATCATTTCATTTCCATAGCTCAAATCCATCAATAGATATGACATTGTCATAGATGCTACAGATAATGTTCCTAGTCGCTACATGATCAACGATTGCTGTGTTGTGTTGGGAAAGGTAATATGCTTTTCTGTTACATAGTTATACTGTCATATATTTAATATACTACGTATATAATATACAAATTTGTTATTCGTTATTTAATTCTGTGCACAGTTTATGCGGAAAGTTTAGCTATAGTCTGATTTCAATAAAGTTGTATTAGTGGTTTAGTGGTAATTGGTGTAATTTTGTATCGATAACTTTCTTTTTGCATGATTGTAGCCTCTTATATCTGGAGCTGCACTTGGACTAGAAGGGCAGGTGCCATTTATACTTTTATAGTAGTTTACCTTGTTTAATACTAGTATAAATTTTCTGATAGCATATTTTGCATTAAAGGTGAGCTCATTTGCACCTGTGACATATTCTTTTGTCTTTGTAGTTGACAGTCTACAATTACAATGGAGGCCCATGTTATAGGTGCATGTTTCCAATCCCACCCCCCACCACTTCATGCCAAAGATGCTCAGATAGTGGTGTATTAGGTGTAGGTATGATACTATTGAAGATCTTTAATTCACCGGATTCCATAACTGTTCAATTATTGAGAAGATTACCTTCTTTTGACTCATCATAGTAAAAAAAATATACAGCAATTATATTCTCCAAGTGAGTTGTGCTGATCATATCTTCTTATATTTATATGAGTCTAACTGATAGGTAGAATTGTCATGGTGTTTTCTATTGGTCAAAATTTGTTTATTTTCAGTACAGTTCGTAAACAAGGTTCTCATTCATCAACTCACTTCCACATCTTATTGACAGTTCCTGGAGTAATTGGATGCCTTCAAGCCCTAGAGGCTATAAAAATTGCAAGTGAGATCGGTGATCCACTCTCTCAACGGATGCTTCTCTTCGATGCCCTGTCAGGACGGATTCATATGGTATGTCTATGGTTTACTTTTCCTCAAATTATAGTGTTATCTGATGGAAGATATATGTAAGTGCTTTGTCTTGTGCCTTGTATGCATTGCGTAATTCTCACATTCCTGTTTACTCAGGTCAAGATCCGAGGAAGGTCATTGCAATGTAAAGTTTGTGGTGACAATGAAGTGCTGACAAAACAGCAATTTGAAGATTTTGACTATGAAAACTTTACTCAATCTCCAATTTCTACGGTGTGTTATGTTTTCACTCTTCCCGTTCCTTTTGTGATGTTTCTTTTTGAACTGAAAAAGAAAAGTTACTATGTGAAGGATGCAGTAGTTGAACTAATTTTATATTTGGTTACATAATACACATAGATATTGAAATGTAAAGGGGGCGATTTAATATTCTAAGGGTCTGTTGGGGTGCAGAAAATACCAGTCAAAGAAAATATGAAGAAAAATTACATGGGAAAATAAGAGATACGCTCAAATTTGATGAATTTGTTATTCTAGATATTTGTTAAAACTCATTTCATTTATTTATTTATTTATTTATTTATTTATTTATTTATTTATTTATTTATTTATTTATTTATTTATTTATTTATTTATTTATTTATTTATTTATTTATATTAATATAATATATTATACCTAGTAGTAAAATGCACACACACACACACCAAGTAAAATATTTGTCATATTTCATCTTCCTATGCGTTTTTCATGTTAAATCCAACAATGAGAGAACAACGTTCCTCGGCATTTTTTCCCTTACCCTAGTATTTTCTGGGATGCAAACCCCTATAGTTCAACTGTTTGTCTGTAGAGTGTAGACAGAAGGCATAGTCTAATTCAAAGGACCATCAGTCTCCTTGCTTACTTTGTGTTTGTGGGATGTTTTTGCCTTTGTTGAATTTTAGCTCCCCATTTCATCTGTACACTAATTAACATGACACTTAATTTTCATGGCTGAACGATTATAGTGTACTTTAATATAATGATGATGGTGATGGTGATTACACAGGGTCCATTGAAGTTGAATCTTGTTCCACCAGATGCTAGAATCAGTAGCAATGAGTACAAGGAGAGAGTTTTAAAAGGGGAAGCTCATGTATTAGTAGATGTACGGCCAGCACATCATTACAAGATTGTTGCACTTCCCAACTCTATTAACATCCCGCTGCAGGGTTTGGAGGATCGACTATGTGACCTATCTACAATGTTACGAAAAGGCGACGAGGAAGGTTCTGGTGCTTCTCTCTATGTCATTTGCAGGAGAGGTAATGATTCACAAAGGGCTGTGGAATGCCTCCGCAAGGCCGGTTTTTCTTCTGCTAAAGATATAATAGGGGGCCTTGAGGCGTGGACCCGAGAGGTGGATCCCCAGTTCCCTTCTTACTGATGGTCTACCCATTCTGGATTTTCTTTCCATACACTCTTCCTCAACGCAGTTGATGTGCAATGTCTCTTTGAACACGTAATTTTGTGGAGATGTGCAATGTTTCTATGCAATTTTCGACGCGGTTTTCAGTATGAATCATCCGGAAACAGTCTCTATGTGCTTTAGTACATGGGTAAGATTGCATTGGGGTATCTAGGGGCTGTGCGCCATTGGGGCAATGATGATGATGATGACTTGAAACTTTTTGTTGATATTGTTAAAATTTACTGAGAGAATGTTTTACAGAACTAAGCATATGACCTTGAAATATTCCCGGGTTCCAGACTTCCAGAATTGCTGAAAGCCTGAAACTATCCCCTCTAGAGAATATATTTAAGTAATTAGTTCTACATTTATGAAGTCCACTCTCGAACCAGAGAATATCCTTATACCGTTTAATATTTACATGTTGCTCCATGTTTCTTATCCTATTTTTTTTATAGTAAGAACGTTTCTCGTGTTTCCCAGTTTCCATGCTACTTAGATATGGATCATGGATGAAATATTTTTCAGACCCACCCTGAAATTGAATTTTTAGGGTCCCCTCTAAATCTCTAATCCCTCTATGCCAATGCTGGGTTCGTGTCTATCCTATTGTGAATTCTCGGAGTGGCTTGGTGAGGATTGATCACATCTCCACAATATGGTTTTGGCTTTCATGAAAGGCAAGATTTAAACCAATTAGTAGTGCTAATGCTAGTCACTGATAATCGTCATATGGCCTATATTTCAGAACATTAGCTTAGCTATGAGACTTAAGTTTTAACCCCCACTAGTTTACATGCTCTTAGTGGCATTACTTGGTACACTACTGTGCAACAACATCTTGCTTTTTCATAGGGGTGGACTCGGGCCGGGCCAACCGGCCCGGAACCGGACCGGCCCGCTACTGTGCGGGCCCGGACCGGCCCGGTCAACCGGTTCTTAACCGGTTCGGGCCACCCGGCCCGGTGGTATAGCGGTCCGGGCCTCCATTTTAGGGAACCGGCCCGGCCGGGCCCGGTTCGGGCCTCCAACGGCCAAATTTTTTTAATTTTTTTTTTTTTAATTTAAAGAGGCTACTAGCCGTTGGGAAGGCTCCCAAACGGCTCTATAGCCGTTGGGAGCATAGGAGGGGGGGTCTGGGGGGTTAGGGGGGTGGGGTTGGGTGGGGGGTGGGGTATAAAAAAAAATCTATTTAAACTCCTATTTTCTCTACATTTTTTACACCTCTTCTTCTACAACTCTTCCTACTCTCTAATTCTCTACTCTAAATCTCTCATATTCAATCATCTTCATTCTTCATCTTCTCCAAATTCTTTCTACATATATATAATTTATATAATTATTATATCTACTTATATATTAATTATCTATTTATAAATATATATACTTATACACATTCATATTATAATTCTTTACACATTATATATACTATATAAGTATATATACTATACACATTCATATTTACTTGATATTTAGTTATTATCCATACTATTGTTATTTACTTATATTTACATATTACATTTAGTTAATATATACTTATATATATATATATTAAAGTATTAAGTATAAGTGTATTACTCATCTTATAGTAATATACTTATATATTATATACTATAAACATTATATTATATATTACTTATAATATATTTACACATTATATATACTATATATACTTATACACATTCATATTTATTTGATATTTAGTTTTTATACATACTATTGTTATTTACTTATATTTACATATTACATTTAGTTAATATATACTTATATATATATATATTAAAGTATGAAGTATAAGTGTATTACTCATCTTATAGTAATATACTTATATATTATATACTATAAACATTATATTATATATTACTTATAATAGTAGTTAATTGTTAGACTTCTCATTTATTTATTAAGTAGTTAATTGTTAGACTTCTCATTTATCTATTAAATTAGTTAATTTTTACATTTCTCTACATTTCTCTTTAAAGAAAAAAATAGTTAAAGTAGTATATTTTTACATTTGTCATATTTCAACTAGTTAAAGTACTTAATTGTTTCATTTGTCATATTAAAATTAGTTATTTCATACATTGCTCATTAAAGTAAAAAAAACTAGTTAAGTTTTACATTTGTCATAATAATATTAGTTAAACTACTTAATTGGTACATTTTTCATATTAATATTAGTTACTTGCTACATTTCTCATTAAAGTAAAAAAAGTAGTACATTTTTACATTTGTCATATTAATATTAGTTAAAGTATACATTTCTCATTGAGGTAAAAATAACTAGTAAATTTTTACATTTGTCATTTTAAAAACTACCTAAAGTAGTTAATTGTTAAATTTGTCATATTAATATTAGTTGAACTACCTAATTGTTACATTTCTCATATTAATATTAGTTAATTTGTACATTGCTCATTAAAGTAAAAAAAAAAAAACTAGTTAATTTTTACATTTCTCATATTTATATTAGTCAAACTAGTTAATATTTAGTTAATTGATTCTCATTAAAGTATTAATTAGAAGTAGTTCGATTTTTATACTCATATTTTAGTTCGAATTTGCAATAGTTTTCTTAGTCACATTTTATTATTACTATTGTACTCATATAAAATATTTGATATCATTTAGTATTTGTTCAATTTTAAAGATGGAACGTGGTAGACATTCTGTAGATGTGGGTAATCTCCAACGCAACCGCAAGAGGGAGATTGCGTCGACTCGTCCTACTTCACGCAAAGGCAAAGGTAAAGCGCGGGCCGAGTCTTCTTTTCAAAGTCGAGATGATTTTGAAACGGATTACCAATGGAGAGATGATATGATGATGTCCGACGAGCATCTACAAAACCTATTGTCCCAAAACGATCCACGCTTTGCACAAGAACAACCCATCCCGACAACCATTGATGAAGAGGAGCTCGAGGATGACGATGCGGAGGAGGACGCGGGGGGCGACCGGACTCACGGCACCCCGGATGATGAGCAAGACTTGGAGGACGAGGGCGGTTCAACCCAAACTGGTAAGAAATCTAAATCTCCTATTATTGAAAACAATTTTACAAAAAGGAAAGACAAAAATACCGAAAAATGGTACGCAAGTTGCAATCATTGCGGCAAAGAGTATAGCTTGGGAACTTCTGGCGGATACGGGAGTCTCACAAGGCATCTTAAGTCCGCCCATCTTGTGGAGTATGCGAAAATAGACAAGGGCAAGGGGAAGCAAACACAAATATCGAGGTTTGCAAATTCTCAACCCTTTGGTAATTTCTCCTATGATGATCAAAAACATTTGACTGGTATGTCTCATTTAATTGTTGAAGAAAATTTACCCTATTTTTTTTCCGAAAGTCTTGCTTTAAGAGATTATGCTCAAGACACTTTAAATCCTCAATTTAGAAATTATAGTCGCAAAACGATTAAAAAAGCAGTTATAAGGCAATATAACTTCGAAAAAGAAAATTTACAAACATTTTTCGCAAACTTTAATGGACGTGTTAGTATTTGTAGCGATATATGGGAGGATACTTATCATCATTTATATTATTTGGGTCTTACTGCACATTGTATTGATGATGATTGGAATATGCATAAACGTGTTCTTGCTTTTCGTGAATTCAATGATCGTCATACTGCTGATAATATTTATATTCTCATTGAGCGTATTTTAATTGAGTATAATTTTCTTGATAAGGTGTTTGCTGTAGGTTTTGATAATGCTAGTAATAATACTGCTGTTATACTTAGATTGCGTGAATTGTGTGGTGCTTCTACATTGATGGGTAGGTTTTTTCATCAACGTTGTGCATGTCATATTCTAAATTTGTGTGTACAAGATGGATTAGCGGCATTAGGACATGCTTTGGAGGTAGTGAAGGGGGGAATTAAATTGATTTGGGCTAACACTCCACTAAAAATGCAATGACGGCAATATTTGAAGGAAAGACGTGTCAATTATTGTGCTTTTCCTAAAGATTTGTCTATTCGTTGGAATAGTACTTATAACTTAATTCAAGTACTTATTAGATATAAAGATCATTTTCCTGCTTTTTTAAGGCAAACTTGTAACTATATTATAAACCCGGCTGACATCGACACTTGTGAAAAAATTGTTAATGTTTTGGTATATTTTAATAAAGCAACTCAAACTTTTAGTCATGTTTATAAACCTACCGCAAATGAATTTTTTGTTGAAGCTGTTAATCTCGCTGGCGCATTTTTAGAATTTTCCGATGCCGCTTACGTTAGTTATTTTTGTGATTTCATGAAACAAAAATTTTTAAAATATTATTCACATGTTCCGCATATATATGGTATTGCATTTGTTCTTGATCCTCGTTATAGACTTGCCGCGTTGCCAACTTGTATAGATTACTATTATAATTGTTTATTTCCAACTCAAGAGTTCGATGATAATCTCATCGACCCTAAACAAGAATACAACGAGGTTAGTAATTTATTTCATCAATTGTATAATGAATTTCATGCACAATATGGTAATGCACCCCCTCCCATGCCGCGAACATCTTCTTCATCTAAAGGAAAACCACTTTTAAAATCTGCATTTGGTTCTCTTATGAAAAAAAGTAGAGCAACTCCCGCTACTGAAGAAAGCTCAGTTAAGGAGCTTTCTTTGTATCTAACATTGAATGTTGATTATGAAGTTGGGGATGATTTTGACGTTCTTAAGTGGTGGAAGGACAATGAAAGAACGTTCCCGGTTTTATCAAAACTGGCTAAGCAAGTGCTAGCAATGTCGATATCAACAGTTGCCGTGGAACAAGAATTTAGTGCGGCCGGCAACGTCCTAACCGATTATAGAACGAGGTTGAGCCCGAGCTCTCTTGAGACGCTAGTTTGCTTCCATGATTGGTTGAAGGCCAAACGAAGAACTCAAGAAATGACCATCGCTCCCACCCGCCACTTTATGGAGGAAACAACCACCGAAGGCGGAGATTCCGATTGATTTTTTTTATTTCAAAATGTATTACATATTTTAAATGCATCCTAATTCTCAATTGTACTTCTTATTTGAAATAAATATACTTGAATTATTTTATATTATTGTGTACATCAATTCAATAATTCAATTCAATAAAATTCATTTGTAAACTTGTACTTCATATGTAGCACTTCTCAAATTAATTAATTGGTTACAATTTTACAAACTTATAACTTACAACTTGAAATTATTTTTGTAAAATCTAAAGGCTGTTTTTAAATTAAAATATGTAATATTAATATGTAAATTAATTAATTTGTTACAAACTTACAAGTTACAACTTATACACCTATTTTGTAACATTTGTAAATTATAAATCAAATCACTTTTCTAAGTAAAAATAGTTTTACTTAATTAAAAAATTAAAAACATTTTCCTTACACAATATGTATAATTTTCTAAATCATATCACTTTCCTTACACTTTTCTAAATCAAATCACTTTTCTAAGTAAATTATACACAATATGTATAATTTTCAAAA